ACCAAGGGTGGCAGGTTTGAACCCGGCCCCGGCCAAACTGCAACAAAAAAAATAGTCAGGCATTAGGGTGGGCACCTGTCGTCCCAGCTAGTTGGGAGGCTGAGGTAAGAGAATCACCTAAGCCCAGGAGTTGGAGGTTACTGTGAGCTGTGACACCCCAGCACTCTACTGAGGGCAACAAAGTGAGACTCTGTCTCAATTGGGCCAGGCTCATACCTATAATGCTAGTACTCTAGGAGGCAGAGGATTGCTTGAGCTCAGAAGTTCCAGAACAGCCTGAGCAAAGTGAGACCCCATCTCTACTAATAATAGAAAAATTAGCCAGGTGTTACAGCAGATGCTCCCAGTCACTCAGGAGACTGAGGCAAGAGGATCACTTGAGCCAAGGAGTTGGAGGTTGCTGTGAGCTATGATGCCATCGCACTCTAGCATGTGGCAACAGAGTGAGATTCTGTCAAGAAAGAAAGAGAGGGAGAGAGGGACAGGAAGGAAGGGAGGGAGAGAGAAAGGAAAGTTGACCTTTGACTATGTTAAAAACACCCACCCCCTACCATCCACCCCTGCCCCATGGCTGCCCCTAGTCCCACCTGCTGCCCATTTTGCAGTCCATAATAGAGGGCCCCTCAAAATCTGCCAGGAGATCTTCCATCTGGTTGAAGGTCTGGCCATCCCGGTGCACCACGCCATAGTAGGCTGGCACAAAAGGCTGCAAGGGGTCTTTCATCAGCTGTTCCAGGCTGCGCTGCTCACATTGACAGAAACGTTTCAGAATCCGACCATCCTCTCCTGCCTGGAAGTTCCCTATGGGTAGCAGGATCAATGAGACAGTCACACACTGGATCAGAGAGTGAATCCTCCCCTCCAATCTCCCTGTATGTATCAAATCCTGGCCACCAACATCTTGCCTGACCCTCTGGCAGTCCCTCCCTGCAATTCTCAAAATTGTGGCCAGAGGTAGTGAGGTAAGGACCTTTTTCTGTGCTCTGCTGCTTACACTAAGTCCTGTTCATAGTACAGGGCTTTATAATTTTGGATTGTGAGCTCATGATCACTTGTGAGAATTCTGTGAGATCTGCATGGAAAGCATGACTTTCCAGAGAAGATCTGTATTTGCTTCTGCCTAAAGTCCCCAGGTGCTAACCACCGAGGATTATTTATATTAATTTATAAATCTTGAATTTCCTGGATCATGCAGGTATTTAGTGTAGATTAGAATTCCAGTTTCTTATCTTCTCAGAGTACATCCTCCAAAGATGTCTACAACTTTATCGCCTGTCCCAACATGATCTTTTAGAATTTTCTCATCAAAAAGTGAAGTCTAGGCTCGGCGCCTGTAGCTCAGTGGCTGGGGTCCTACCCACATACACCAGAGCTGGCAGGTTCGAATCCAGCCCGGG